TTAAGGAGTGAATGAAAGTGAGCTATCTCAGGCAAGTCTTTATTCAAATTAAAATACAGTGATTCTAATAATAAGCCGAGTGAAAGAGAGGAAAAAAATTAAAGCAGCAGAACAGTTTTTCAGTTTCACCTACCATCATACCTCTTATAATGAAACCTAATTTAAAGATTTTACTGAAAAATTCCCAATATTTTTTTCTTTTAGAAGATAATGTATGCTTTTAAAGTAAACAAAATATATATTATGATGTTTTCCTTAAGGTTTCTAAAAGCAGTAAAACCTAATATTCCAAGAAGTGGTGGTGCTTGTTTCACAATTTTGAATGGGAAGTTTTTAGCGTTGCTTATATCATTTTGTCTACTTGGTCTATGAAGCTAGCTTTGTGAAGCTGTTTACTTGTTTCTACAAAGATGTCAATGAAAGTAGTTAAGAAATTTGAGCAGTTGTGTGCAAGCGAGATTTCAAATAAAGATTCAACTGGCGCTGCCCATTACAAGAGGTGTGGTGGTAAAAGTATTATGGTGAAAGATAGACATACACTTTCACTTATCCCTGTCTATGAAATGTGTTTTATGTTTTTTTATTTTTTATTTTATGTAAGTAATATTAAGTATTACCACATTTTAATACAATTTTACATACATATGCATATCCACTTTTAGTGTAAAAAAAATACTAATCATTTTGTAATATATATGTTTGTAAATATAGGTCAGTTGACAATATATAGTCTTTCCAATCTAAACACCAGGAAGATTTCAATCTTGGGTTTGATTCATATAGCAGTAATAAAAAGTTGAGTGCAATTCCTGAAAATGATGTATGAATATGTTTTGGAGATTTTGTTTAAAATGTACATTTAGGTATTGATAGTCCAAAAATAAAGCTGGTTCTTGATAACATTAAGAAAAAAAAAGTAAATCGTATTATAGGGTATATATTTATACCTATGTATATGACACTGTTTTGGTTACTGGTGGATTGGAAAGAGACTAGATTTACTTCAAAATTCTATGGAAACTTTCAGCAAGGTTAAACAATAATAATTTTATTTGGTCACTGAACAGGCACTGATATAAGTATTTCCCTTACAGATTAGTCAGTGATAAGCAAATTGATCATTTTATGCAATCTGGAAAGATTTAAATGTGCAATATTATTATTCAGTGAGTAAATGCAAGGGTAGGGGAAGACTTCTATTGGTATTTTTTTTTCCTTTTGCCAGATATATAGTAAAAATATATCTACTGTACCATATAATTTTGCCACTTTTACTATATAAACACCAATTTGGCAAACAGAAATAATTTATTTATACCACTGGCATCTATCACAGCTATATACGCTTGTATTTTGTGGTTTTATTTTTTATTGACTTTTTTGAGCTAATGCGAACTGTGAAATATGTGAAACAGAAATTATGTAAAAAGGAAGAAATAAATATGATAATTGTATATTTGCTTTCATTAATATCAAGGTTTTCATTGCCAAAAACATCACTGAACTTTTCTTTACCAACAGATCAATAAATAGTCAGAAAAGCATATATATAAAGGAATCCTGAGAAAATATGACTTAAAATGCTGATTAATTTTGCACTTTGGTTATGCTGTAGTTTGGTTATAAAATAAGTTGAGCTATGTATTTGCTTGTGAGGAAATTATCATAAGTTTAAACTGCCTGACCTTAATTTTTGTTTTTTTGTTTGGTCGCTTTACATTAATGCCTAGTTATCATAATAAAAATGTGCAACTAAATAGTGCTGCAAAATGTCCAAAGGCCATATTTGCAGCATTTTCAGTGAGTCAAAAGCTCCATTCATTCAAGACCATTTCATAGACTAGGTATTTTGCAAAGGCATTGATGCATTAACCTAATCTAATTTATAGCAAGGCAATATGTCACTACACTAGTGAAATGGGTTGAACCTATCATATTACTGATCACAATGTTTGAGGCCTGCTAGCAGTAAACACCTTTCTTCTTTTTACACTTTCTGAACAAAAACTCAGAAGCATGTGCACATGCCAATGGAATTATGTTCCATAAAAATACTTCAAAAAATGAACTTTTTTGAGATGCAAAACAAAGCAATTAGTGCACAACATTACAGCAATTAAGAAGTGAGCCTCTTTATGATTGTGGTTCATATCACAGTTAATATTGTAACATGAAAAGCTTGTCAGAACTCAATAAAATATCTTGGTTCTTCTAACTACATAAATATATCAAACTGATTTTTTACTAAATTTAGCAATGGCTTTGTTTTTTGAATAAACCATCATACAAGTATTTTTTGAGACTACTTTGGATTACAGGAGGACTTTAAATTACCTTTTTAGTGCCCAAGGTAAAATTGTCACCAGGGAGAGTCCTCAGTAAAAATACGTTTAATATCACTTGCACTAAAAGCTGCACTTTCAAAATCTAATGTGGGAGATATTAGGTGGGCAGAATATTTCTTGAAAATATTAGACATGCAATTAATGTGACAAGTGAATCATTACAAATATGCACCAGCCTGTGGAATAACTGACTGTAAAGTGAATTAAATATAGCAAGGCAGGTTACTGGTAAGCTGTGAAGACTGATTTTTTATTTTTACTTTTAAAATTTTTAATGTACCATAATGTGCATGTCTATTTAGGTCTTCAACTCATATATTTAATTAACATATAAATTTCACTAAGGTTATCTGGAATATTTCCAACTGATTTAATTGTGGTCACTGCAATAATCACTCTTACACTCAAATTGAAAAGTTGTTTGTTGTTTCTTAAAAACTTGCAAAACTAAAAAATATATTTTTTTTTATGGGTAGGATATTCCATTAAGTGGACCAAAGTTTCATAGTACTGACATTAAATTATTTTATTGGTTGTAAGTACTGATTTGAAAAATAGAAATAAACACTGTGTGTGTGTGTGGTTGTGTGTGTGTGTGGTGTGTGTGTGTGTGTGTGTGTGTGTGTGTGTGGTGTGTGTGGTGTGTGTGTGTGTGTGTGTTGTGTGTGGTGTGCGTGCGTGTGGCTGTATGCATGTGTGTGTGTGCGTGTAGTGTGCTGTGTGTGTGTGCGTGCATGATGTGTGTGGTGTTGCATGTGTGTGTTGTGTGGGTGTGTGTGTATGCATGTGTATGCATGTATACATGTGTGTGTATGCGTGTATGCATGATGTATGTGTGTGTATGTGTATGCGTATGTGTATGTATGCATGTGTGTGTGTGTATGCATGTGTGTGTGTGTGTATGCATCATGTGTGTGTGTGTGTGTATGCTGCATGTGTGTGTGTATGCATGCATGTGTGTGTGTGGTGCATGCAATGTGTGTGTGTGTGTGTAATGCATGCATGCATGCTGTGTGTGTGTGTGTATGCATGCATGTGTGTGTGGTGTTGTGCATGCATGTGTGTGTGTGTGTGTATGTATGCATGGTGTGTGTATGTGTATGCATGCATGTGTGTGTGTATGCATGCACATGTGTGTGTGTGTATGCATGCATGTGTGTGTGTGTGGTATGCATGCATGTGTGTATGTGTGTGTATGCATGCATGCATATGTGTGTGTGTATGCATGCATGTGTGTGTGTGCATGCATGATGTGTGTGTGTGTGTATGCATGCATGCTGTGTGTGTATGTGCTGTGTGTGTGTGTATGCATGCATGTGTGTGTGTGTGTGTGCATGCATGTGTGTGTGGTGTATGCATGCATGTGGTGTGTGTGTATGCATGTGTGTGTGTGTGTATGCATGCATGTGTGTGTGTGTATGCATGCATGTGTGTGTGTGTGTGTGTATGCATGCATGTGTGTGTGTGTATGCATGCATGTGTGTGTGTATGCATGCATGTGTGTGTGTGTATGCATGCATGTGTGTATGCATGCATGTGTGTGTGTATGCATGCATGTGGTGTGTGTGTGTGTATGCTATGTGTGTGTATGTGTGTGTGCATGCATTGTGTGCATGATGTGTCATGCATGTAATGTGTTTTATGTGCCACATGCATTGTTATGCAATATAAAGCCATATTGGTGCAGATGCCAATGTGTGTGCATGCATTGGTGCAGATGTGTCCAGGTAAGTGTTTATGTGCTTGTGGGACACCAATTTTATATATAAAGCTATAAGGAAAACCCCGGTATTTTATAAACATAAATAAATTCTGAGCATTTACATTCATTACCTAATATAAATTTCACAGTATAAAATTTATAAAACTCCAAACTAATTCCTTACATCTTTATCAAGGCCACCTCTAACCAAGTAACTTATGCAATATATTAGAATATAATTTTTATGAATGGTAATTACAAGAAAATAAAACTTTGTTTAAATACATTTAAAGCTACAATACAACCAACAAATACGGAAAATCATTTCAATTTAGCATTCCAAACGAGGCCAACTTCTACTTAAAGAACTATATGTCTGCTTAAGTCACACAGCCTAATCTGGCACTTCTGTGAAAAAAGAAGAAGAAAATACCCTTGGACATTCACGTAATGAAGCATCTTACATCTAAACTTGAACTAAAAAGTATTGTGAATTACACCTACCTAATAATTATGATTCTTGAACACATACTTTGCTATAATTATGTTCATAGCCCTAATTACCAAAATCTATTATATGTTCAACACTGGTTAGGTTCATGTGAATGAGCAACTAAATTATAGAAAGATAAGTAGTTTGAAAGTGGATTAACCTTGCAGAAAAGTAGTTTTAATGTGGATTACTTTGCGTATTTAAGAGAAAGGCTTACGGATAATAAGGAAGAGAAGCCCAATAAAAAAAATGAGAGTTGTGTAAAAAAAGAAAAAGAAAAAGAAAGAAAGATTACTTTGGCATCCTTACAAAACTGAAGACCTTTGGTACTGGAGTAAACTGAACAATATTACTATTATCATTATTGTATTATCATTATATTCTTAGCATGATTAAAAATGAGGTAAAGCTTTGGGTTAGTAAGTTTTCAAAGCAGCTGTTCCAACACATGCTGTGGGTTAGTAAGTTTTCAAAGCAGCTGTTCCAACACATGCTTTGTTGATCGTTCATTTTAAAGAAATGTTGGCACATGGCGGGCTGTTCAAAGTACCATTCCTGTATTTGGTAACTAAATATTCACTTCACTTATGTTGCATACAATAAATATTCGACAATTTCACTATAGTTTTCTCTTAATATGATATTAAAAAATATTGATTTTCATCTCAACTTTTCATGTTCATTCTCTGTCTGACATATGAATAATTTCACAATGAGCCTGGGATATCCTCTCCGAATTTGCTAATGTGAGCTGCCCGTTTTGCTTCCTGCAGGATCTGAAATGGGAAATGTTATTACTATGTAGTTTAGTTAAAAATATGTTAAAATACATTACAGGAGGCTTTCTCCTCCCATGATTAATATTCAATAGGACTGGGACAATGTACATGTATGATTTTCTTGTCAATATAATGGTTAACAAGAACATAACAACATATGCAATAGAAATATGAAGTTTACAGCCAGGATATTATTAACCCGTTGGATCCAAGTGAGGTGAGAGTCACATCATGACAAAATTTGCCTGAGAGCCAGGTGACAGGAATTTGCTGTCATGGAAAAATTTGGCTGAGGTCTGGGGTGACAGAAATATCCTGTCATGGGAAATGTGGCTGGTGGCTGGGGTGTTGGGAGTGTCTCGATATGAGTGCATAATGCTCTTGGAAGATATGATTCAGTAGATATTTAGGAAGGGGTCCTTGCATTATTTCTATTAGTGGAATGTACCGTCAGTAAGCCCTGGCTGGAAGAGTACCTGCTCCAGAGGGCACACCATCTCCATGCACAGGATCCTATTCCTGCCAGCCATCACGACTGCGCAAGGTGTTACAAAAAACTGAATAATGTAAAAAAAAAACTTGTTGTTATTGTTACTGCAAAGTGGTACGACTACTTAGAGAGATAATATGGAGTCTGCCCAATGAAAGGAGTATTGCCATCATGATACAGCATATCAGATGACATAGACAATAATGCTTATGCTGAAATAGAGATAACATTACAAAAGGGAGGAATGTCTTAATATCACACGAGTTCATATAGGTTGGGCTTACAAGCCACACACCCGAGAGAGTTGCCATTTAATCCCTATGATCTGGGTGACATGACAGTCTCATCATGGAAAAATCTGGGTCAAGGGCTGGATGATGTGAACATGCCGTCATTGGACAAAATGGCTGTGTGTGTGTGTATGCGAACCTGCCTTCATGAGTGAAGGCCAGGGTGATGGAAAAGACTTGCCATAAGTGCACACACTTCTTGGAGTGTAATTAGACTCATTTGGCATTTAGAAGGGGGCTTTTGCAATATTCCCACTGATAAATGAAGCTGCGACTGGAAGAGTGTCAGCTCCAAGGAGGATGCCATTTCTATGCTCAGAATCGTATTCCTGGCCGCTGTGACTGGTGGTGCAGGTTGTATTATGGGGGAAGGGAAAAAAAAAAGAAGAAAAAAGAAAAAGAAAAAAAAAGAAAGAAAGAAATATAACAAATAACCAAATGTTACATTTTTTTCTATTTGCACTAAGTTATTTACTACACAGAGAGATGATATGAGGTCTACGCAAGGAAAATAATATATCTGGAAAAGGCAAATAAAAAAAAGCTAAAAAGTTTACACACAATAACTTTGCAGAGGGGAGGCACAGAGTCTTGTCACTGCTCACAAGTGTTTGGCCATGTGATTGCAGTGATGCAACTGGGTCAATGGGTTAAGTAAGCCAGCTGCTCTGATTCTGGAATTTAGTACCAAAAAAATTACTTTCAAAGAAACTTGACTGATTACCTCATGATGGATATAGGAGTCGCATGAATAGCACCAAACAGACAAGTCAGCGTAACTTAGCACCATGTAATGTTCTTCCATTACACCATGCATCAGCATATGCTCATTTACAAATCGTCCACACAAAACCTGTAATTGAGTAATTAATATTTAGAATGTATTGCAATGTCAGCTACATAGTCTTAAAAAGAAAAAGAAGAAGAAATTGGTAACTTTCATAAGGACAGTTCATATTTGCCTTCTCATTCAGAGGGCGAGAAAAATGCTTTAAATGCTTGAATGGTGATTTCTAAATACTGGTCATTCTTTTTAACCTTCACTTTAACCTGAGTAATGACCCAAGAACCAATGATCTGGAAATACTGTTCCATAGTTTCCAATTTGACAATTAGTTTCTTGATAGATCATATGTGACAAGCCAATGAATTGGTGTTTATTACTAAAAAAACTAAGTAAGTAAATGGAAAAAAATGGAGAGCTTTAATTCACTTGTAACTACTAAATGACTACAATGATAACATTAATTATGAAGTATGTCCAAAACAAAATATTCTTACCTTGTAGCAGGTGAGACACACCCAATTCTCTGACAAGTCTTTGCACTCTTCACATGGACTGAAGGCATCCAAGCTACTCTTTGGCACAGGCTGCACTGATTCTAAGTGTGGACACCATTGCAAAGGAACAACTGCATACATAGACTGTGGGTTACATGAAACTCAATTATTACAATAATAATTTAAACCTCTTTTACTTTCATGACTATTTTATGCAAAATAAAAAAGTATAAATACCATTCCTATTATTATTATTATTACTAAAACCGATCTACACAAGAAAATCTCTAACCTCTGCTCCTGAAACTTCCGTGAGTAAAAACGTATTCAGGCCTTCCGCTTGTGTGGCACAAGCGCCTCCTACGGCTCCATCCTCCTCCTCCATTTTTACCTCAACAACTTCTGTAGACTTGGCTCCTTCCCTTTCTTTGCCCAGACTCATTTGGCTGAGGGTGCTCGTTAATTCATCAAGACCTAGTTAGAAGAAAAGAGGGAAACTGTGAAAAAGGGAGGGAAAGAAGGGGAAGGTGGAGGAAGTTATTATATATGCAGTAACATGCATGATAAAAGCCATCAGTCAATATGAACATATTTCTCAAAATATCAGTCAGCTGACCCAAGAACCTGAAACCATTACCAGTTTTTCTATCTGGGATCTCTGGACTTCTATCAGTAAGATCAACAGACAGAGACGGCTTTGTGATCTTTTTAGATTTCTGATTACTGGATGCCATTCCTTTGCTCTGAATCAGAATTTTACATAAAAGATCATAGTATTCTATTATTTTTCTTTGAACAGTTTTAACAGAATGAAAGTTATTAAACATGTATCTCATATATAGATATACAGTAATCCATTAGTAATTTTGAGTTAAAGTGTTTACCTGCAAGTCTAATGCTGACCAGAACTTCTGATGTACAGACACGACATTGTTCAAAGTCTCACAGGCACTTGAACATGCTGCAAGGCCCTGACTGAGAGGGATGAGAGGGTCCCCTAAAAGAGCCTTTGCACACATGGTCATACAGTAGCTGATTGTGTTCAAGTTGTAACCGCCTTCTAGAGCAACAATAACTCGACCGCCAGCAAGGCATGACAGTAATTTTGTCATGTGGCCGTAGCATTCAGGGGAAACTTTGCAGCCTGGAAGGAATTACAAAGCTCAGCTGGAGACTAAAACCAACAGAGAAATCCCTGATACAATATTTTGTGTTGATTTAAAATCCATATTTGCTAGTGTCTTCTAAAAGTAATGAAATATATCTGTGGTCCAATGAGTACTGTTGGCAAAATGTTTGGGTATCAATAATGGAAGCTTTTTGAAATGCTAGACAAAAGTCAATTGAATGATATAGACTGTACCTCCTAAAGGGTCTCCAACAGCTGCATCAAAACCGGCAGATACCAATACCAGCTCGGGGTTAAACTGATACGCAATTGGTAGGATTACTTCTACCATGGCTGCCATGTAGTCTCCGTCACCCATACCACTCTAGAAAGACGGTATTTATGAGTGTTATTAACTATTTCATCGCTAGATCTGAGAGAAGAGAGAGAGAGAGAGAGAGAGAGAGAGAGAGAGAGAGAGAGAGAGAGAGAGAGAGAGAGAGAGAGAGAGAGAGAGAGAGAGAGAGAGAGAGAGAGAGAGAGAGAGAGAGAGGAGAGAGAGAGAGAGAGAGAGACAGAGGAGAAAGAGAGAGAGAGAGAGAGAGAGAGAGAGAGAGAGAGAGAGAGAGAGAGAGAGAGAGAGAGAGAGAGAGAGAGAGAGAGAGAGAGAGAGAGAGAGAGAGAGAGAGAGAAGAGAGAGAGAGAGAGAGAGAGAGAGAGAGAGAGAGAGAGAGAGTGAGAGAGAGAGAGAGAGAGCGAGAGAGAGAGAGAGAGAGAAGGAGAGAGAGAGAACAATTACTGACCTTATTCCAGGGGATATTAACATTATATCCTTTTCCTTTCTTGGTGCCTGCCCTATTGTAGTTGGCATCAGGACTGCCTGGGAAGAACTTGCCATTATCATAGCGGTGGATTGAGACATAAAGGACTTGTGGGTCATCTTCAAACATATGCTGTATCCCGTTGCCGTGATGCACATCCCAGTCCACGATCAGTACTCTGAAAATGTTGTATACTTTGATGATATATATATAAACTGAAAAAATGAACAGAATTAACAAATGCCTTTTGATCTCTTGACTAGACTAACAAAATACAGACTAAAGGCAGTCATGATGACATGTTGACATATCCTTCTGTGTATGACATTTACCGACTCAAACCATGAGCTCCAATGGCATGTTTCGCAGCCACGGCTACATTGTTGTATATGCAGAAACCACATGGCTCAGTCTTCTCTGCATGGTGGCCAGGAGGACGTATAACTGCGAGTCCACGTCGGCTTTCACCTCTTAGAACGCTGTCAACTACCTGAAAAACGGTTCGTTCACCCCTTTTTCACCAAGCATTACATATTTGTCACACTTATACACTAGAGAAATAATATCCCCCACATGTTTCTAGTTTGTAACTGATCTGAACAGAATTGCCAGTCATACAGATTGACATATGACATGTTAACAAATATTGTCCACTGTAAGTTCCACAATAATCAATATTGTATCAAAGTTTAATTTGCATATCTAGTACAGAAGTGCAATGGCAGCATCCAGGATCCAATTTTAAAACACCTCTGGAAAAGCACAAACCCTAATCCTTCATATGTGCATATAGAAAGTGATGGGAACTTGTTTTAACATTGCACATGCCATGAATAAGCAAAATACTGAAGTTATAAATTCTACTCACTTCCAGGAGAGAGCCTGAAGCCAAAAGAGCAGCATTATTTGTCTGACGATGGAAGAAGATGGATTCAAAGCTG